CTCTGAGTCCTAATTTTCCCATTTGTAAAAAAAAAAAAAAAAACCAACAATAATGGTGCCAACCTCATAAGCTTTTGTGAAATAATACCTGGTGCTCAAGTAAATATCAGCAGCCGCTCTTATTATTCTTGTATTTATTTTGATTACCTAACATGTCTCTTTCTTGCTAGGGAACTACCAAAGGGAAGGAATTAGAGGCCTCTGTTACATTGGCCATTACAAATGACTACAAGGCTGCATTATAGATGAAAAGATAGGTTCATGGTAGGGGAAGTTAAGGGTATTTCTTCCTGTTCTTCAGGATTTTGAAGTGTTGAATGACTAACTCTTTGGATGACTATTATGTATATCTGAGTCCTGGGCAGAGCTTGACTGTAATATAAACAAAAGTCCCGAACCTGAAAGAAAATATTGCAATAAATATCTTTCCATAAACTCCATGAAGTAAGACGAATATTGTTAAAGAAGGTTCTGGAAGAAGCTTTGAAGCTCTTGGTGCCCTTAACTAGATTGTCCCATCATCCTAGGCTCCTATGGCTTTAATAGTACATAAATATTTAGAAATATGTCTATGCATCAGAAAACAAACCCGAGTGTGTAGGCTGGAAATCATTCTCTTGCTCGCGTCATTCGCTTGCTCCCATCATGCTCTTGCTCCCAGAGCTACTGGGCTATGTGAATGTGAAGTGCAGTGGCTCTGGGTGGAGTTACTTGGAAAGGGGATTTGTGAAGGATACAGTGTATCTTTTTAAGGCCTTAAAAAGAAATCTTAATTACATCATGGGCTATTCTGCACCAAAAATATGTTGACTGGGGAAAATTATTTGTTAAACCAAAGATCCTTAACCCGGATCCAAGTATCTTAATAACTATCTGAAGGGATAAAAGTAACAGAATATATATCTGCATTTCTGGGGAAGAGGTCTTCATACAGTTCTCAAAGGCCAGGCTCAAAATGTTTAAGAATTAGCACTATGCCTTTTGCAATCCTTGGCTGTCTTGGAAACTGCTGTTGGTTAGAAGCCATCCACACCTAAGGCAGGAAAGTGGTAGCCACAAAGACACAAAAGTCACTGCAATCCATTGACTCTAGGTTCCATCTCCTTTGACAAATGGAAAGTACGTGCTGAGGCATAGGCAGACTCTGAGGATGCCAGACCTGGCAAAAGCAGACTGGCTCTTTCTTCAGCGACTGCGCCACCTCAAGAGAAGTCCAAGTAGAGTGCTGTACCAGGGACACTCAAACCTGGTGCCTCCCTCATCACAGTGACAGTAATGGCAACTTGGGCACAGCTGTGAAGAATACACACATGCCCTGGCCGTCACTGATCCAGGTGATTCTGAAAGCATCAGAAGCATGGTGGGCATCTGGGGAAAAACCATAAATCTACAAATCTTCTTTTAATAAAATTGATCAGAGCTGAAAGACCAAGGTGCAGGAAGAAGATGAAGAAGGAAAGGAGGAGGGAGGGAGGGAGCAAGAGGGGTAGGCAGAAAGACACTGTCCTGGAGTAATATTGGGAGGGGAAAGTTTATGTAATTCCCAACACTAAAGGACAAATGGTTATGTTTTACAGGTCAGAAGAGCAGCTACTTTAGATGTCTGAGCTTGGTGTGTTCTCCTTTGCCCCATGACACAAATGTCTCACTGCTGTGCACAACTCTACAAGGCTTTCTCCATTCAGACCATGTTTCTTTCCAGCCACCCTTCAGGGCTGCACATTCAGTTATAAAAGCTACCAAGGTACATCCCCTCAAGAAAGATAAACTGCTCTGGCCACTGCCCAAATTATTTTCAGGGACTCTGTGCTGTGCCCCAGAGCACCAAGGCCCTCACATGATTGCTTATCCAGTAAGAACCTCTGCAGCTCCACATTTGCTCTCTGAATGTATCATTTGGTCATCACTGGCCAGTTGTTTATCATACTCTAAGCTGCCTGGGACTGCAGCTCTTTATTTCTATCCTGGATGTGTTCAAAGTGAAGTTTTAATGTCTAACGTCAAAATCATTTTGTCAGTGTCAGCCATCTGGATGAGTCACGGCCACTGCTTGACCAATTTGCTCTCTGTGAAAGCCTGAGAGAATGTTTTCTCTCCATGTAACTCTCCTTAGACACACTCTACATCATCAATCACTTTCTTCTGTGACCCCATAATCTCCCTGAACAGAAAATTTGGGACACCACTGAGTTACATGATGCTACAGTACAGTTTCTCCTATGTCCTGAGTCTTCACTGACCTTGAAAAGTTAGGGCCAAAATGTTAGCTGTCCTTGTAGCCCTTCTTTTTCTCTAATTTTTTGCTCTTCAAACTGAAGTTGTTAACTCTCCAGAAGAGAAGCTTAATGATATTAGTACCCTATAACACAAGCAGTTGACCTGGCTTCACTATCTGTCTGAATATCAGACATCTTAGACATAACATGGAACAGGTATTTTCCATCAATCATTGATATGCTAAACTTTAAATCCCTATAGAATGTGAAAAAAGTAAAAAACAAAAAAATAGAAATAAACAGTTACATTTTTTTTCACAGAAATTTAGAAATCTAACCATATACAACATTGTAGCAGAACAATCCTATGACATTTTTTTCTTGTCTCTTCTTTTCTTTTATTACCCTTTTTTAAACAAACATTTACTTGAGAGAGAGAGTATAGCAGTAATTGATATGATACTAGAAGCAGTACATATTTGAAGACCAGAATAACAGGCATTCCAAGCATGGCGCTAGTATTGCACATTGCTATCCTCAGTGCAGTTGCTTAGTTCACAGGTATCAACATATATAGTCAGTCAGGGTGAGAATCCTACCAATTAACTACTAGTGTCAAAAGCCTGATGGAGATTCTCAGGATCATTGCCTTAACCATCTCGTGTATATAAATATATGATTTTGCACCTGCCATGTTTCCTAGCTTTTCCCCTTGTACTCTTCATTGTGGGTCCAAGCTAAATCCTGAGATTTGACTGACCTTGTCAGATATAAAAGTTACATTACTTGTTATATAGGTCTTGCTTTATCTTGGTCTTAACCATCCAGCAGAAAAGTATAAACACAAGGTATAAAAAGTAAAGCCATATTAATATGCTGAAAAAAATATGCTGAGCTGTAAAAAGCTCAAGTTAACAACTTCTGACATTGTCAGTTCTGCAAATAACCCACTACTATTATGGACTACTGGACTATATTGGATTATTTTGCAGAATTCATGCACCTATAATATTTGAATGGCAATGGAATACCCATCTCTGACAAAAGCAAACAAAAAAGAGGGATATAAATGAAGGACCATTTTATAGTGAAAAAATATACATCTATATCTGTATATACAAAATAGTTAGAATAGATATGCATCTACTTTCTCTTAATTCAATGAGAAGAAAGATTTGTACTAATAGTGTTTAGACAAGATATCATGTCTACATCTTGTACTATGAATAACTACTACATAGACAACAATATACAATGTATTAATTATTGAAACTGTCCTACTAACCTGTTTTGAAACTGACTCATTGCTATTTCTTTCTCAATAAAATTATTTTTAAAAAAATGAATTTTAAATTGTAGTAAAAAAAAATCATTCTAAATGTTGTAGCACTGTTTATTAAGACTGGGGCAGCTGGTTCTGTCAAAAGCCTTATCTACACTTCCGATTAAGACAATTTAATTTGTCATACCTTGTTCTCAATACAATACTTATCTTCTTTTTAAGTCTTTGTAAATCTGATTTCTGACTCAGTTCTTCCCACTGTCCCTTGCTTATGGATTGGAATTTTCATTTCACTAAAAAGAGGGAAAGAGGGAGAGAAATAAGAGAGAAATTCTTGCTGGGAAATGGCTTTGCAGGCAGTCAGTGCCCTCAACTATCTTGACTTGAAAACCCAAGGTGATTTTTTCTAGCAGCTTTGAAATAAGTTCTGTAAATAAGCTTTGTTCACTTGTCCCTCTTGGCTTCATTTCGCCATACAGTGTCCAGCCCCATCTTTCCCAGCAGCAAACTTATTTGCAGAAGTGCAATATAAACACAAGAGGGCTTTAAGTTCTCTTCCATCCCCGAACCTTCAGGGTAAGCCCTGAAGGCCCCAGGTCCTGTAGAGTCAGACAGGTGTTGTCCTGCTGTATCCCCCATCATCAAAGCCTGTTTAGACAGAAGGACTACTTCCCTGTTGCTTCAGGTCTACCTAGAGGTGTTGTGTTTCCTGTCACTTTGGGCACGTCAGCTTAGCATCACGGGGAGTCTGCATTCAATTAAGGCCACACTTTGGGCCCAAGCTCTGTATCTCACTCCAAGAAGCTACGCTTATTGCGCTCATTTCCACATTTGCTCTCTTAATGTGTCATTTTGTTTGGATGAGTTTATGTGCCAACTCACTGGGCTGCACTTTCTTTACCAGGCTGTGTTTCTCTTTCTACCCTGGCTGATTGGTTGCTTCGTTGTTGGTTAATTGACTGGATGGTTGGTGACATGCTATGAGCAGTAGAAGACTGACACAGGCCTTTTTACCAGAGCCTGGAAAGCCTCACAGGATAAGGCTAGCTGGGCTCGGAACTGCACATCCTCCCTCCCAAACCCCAGATCTAAAGCGAGGATGTGAGTCTCAGCCAGACCAACATTCCCTAAAGGGTGTGCCTCCCATCTGAGCTCATCTGACCCAGTTGAGCTGGAATGGAAAACAACTACAGTTACGCATTTGGGTGGGAGTTGAGTGAGTCCACAGCGCTCGCACTGCCCTCCTCCTACGCCCCGCCGGGGGGTTGATCCCAACTGCAGCTGCAAAGGGTCAGTGCAAAAGGCAGAGGCAGCCAGGGCGGGGGCAGCTTGCAGGCTCCAGGTGACCTTACCAGGGAGAACATCTAGGGGCAGAAGAAAAGAGAGAAGCCAGTGGGGGTCGCAGACAAAAGGGGTGCCAGGTCTCCCCTGGGCTGCACTGGCGGCTGGATGGAGTTTGCAGGGCGCTGGCAGCGCGCCGGGACACGCGGCAAGGCACCCACCTCTTGACGTAGCTGCTGAGGCGATAGAGCTGCCCATCCAGGCGTACAAAGCCATCCCCGAAGACGTTGAAGCCTCCGCGCGAGGCCGCCGGTTTCCCCGGCCCAGACACCAGGAGTTGGTCGCCGCGCAGCTGGAAGGCTCCGGGCTGCAGGCGCACAAGCTGGGCCAGCGGGAGCACCGCCAGCTCGCAGTCGCAGGTCCACAGGCTGCGCAGCTCCCCCGATGAGATGGAGGTGAGGCTCGGCCTGGCCTGCGCCTCGCACGCTGCCCCCGCCATGCTCAGCCGTCGGTGCGCCCTGGCCTCCGGGTTCCAGCCCGACCCTGCCCGCGCCCTACTGCGGCCTCCCCAGTGTTACAGCACGGAGAAGAGGTCCCGGCGCCGCGCCGCCTCTTTTATCTGCCCTCTGTCTCCTGCCACACCCCTCTCGGCCCAAGCTCCGACCCTAGACCTTGGCCGCAGTTACCCTGTCTCATAATTTGGCTCACTCCTGATAGCCGCGCCTGTTGTCAGCAGGGGCTGAGTCAGCCCCGCGGGGGAGCTGGATCCCGCCCTGCCTGGGGACACTGAGGGGGGAAGCAGGGTAAGGCACCCGGTCAACTGCTGGACGCGGTGGGCAGAGGGGCTTGGCCCCCACCGCGCCTAGTACTTCCCAGAGTCCCTCACGCCACCCTCTCTTCTTGGGGCCCAGGGGCTGTCAGAGGCGCTGTGGGAGCTCTAACCCATTCCCCCCAGGGCCAAGCTGGAGTCAGAAGCCAACCAACACTGTCCAGCCTCGGTTTTCTGCTCCCCTCCTCCCAAATCCAAACCATTCCTTGCTTTTCTTCCCCAGACACTGGCTCCTGGCGCTGGATTCCTTCTAGCTAGAGGTTCCAATGATGCTTATGTCACTTTTCCATATCTTCATTCCTTTCTCCCCTTTTCTACCAGCTGGTGGACTTGGGTGCTGTATGTTCTAGATGGGCTGGAAGCCCAGGGCTCCTTCCTTCTCCCCTGCCTCGTAGTAGGCTGTGAACTCTGTGAATGCCAGACTATGTTCATTTGTTCAGCCTAGAAATATTTGAGGGCTAGCTATGCGCTCATGAGTCTCCTGGGTTAAGAAAGGACTATTTCATTCAATTTAATTAAACAAGTATTTCCAGAACATTTAACAGATAATAGAGAATAAGTTTCTGAGAAAACCGAATGAATAAACACAACCCTGGCATCTCCTAAGTTATTGTCTAATAGAGGAGCAGGCAAGCGTTCCAGCACTGCATTACATTAAATGAAATCTGCTTCGCCCAGTAAACCTGGATGACTGTGGGAGGAGAATCAAAGCCTGTTTGAGGCTTTCTGAAATACTGATATAGGGCCCGAAATAAGAATTGGAAAGTTAAGCGGAACCTAGAGAGCATGTTCCACTTGCTTTGGGGTGCTTCCAAGGTGGATTCTTGCACACATTTGTTCATTTCAATCCTGGAACGTAAATGGGCTCCATTCTTATTGCCTGTTCTAAGAAAACACCTTTTCTTCTCCAGCATTAATTCCTTTACCCAGGATCAGTTCTGGGATCTCTTTGCACATGGAATTCGGGGAGCACTTCCAACTTAATGCACTGATCACTATGGCATCCATCGTTTGCAGAGAAGAAGGGAGACCCTGAGAATGAAATGATTGGCCAAGGGGTTCTTTTGCAAAGTGAAGTGAGAGGATCACAGCGCAGCATGAGCCTGGGGTGGGCTGAGACTGTAGGCTGCACCCAGGACAGGGGTGTGCGGGTTATACCCTTAAGTTTTGAGGTGACACATACACAAACATAATACTACATCAAATAATAGGACAAAATAGAAATAAAGGTTACTATAGATGCATGGGCTAAGTTGTAGGAGAACAAGGCTGTGGAATGGTTAGTGCTGCCATGGAGGACCCAGGAAGGATGCTCAGAGGAGATGAGATGTGGACTAAGCTGTGGAGTAGAAGCTCTCAAGTAAGGGACTGCCATCAATAGAGACAGAAAAAAGGTTCTGCACCAGTCTGTGCAACAAGGGAGAATATGTTCTTTCTGGAGGACAGTGGGAAATTATGAGGGGCTAAAGTAGGTCATGCTCATTTGGGGTGAGGGGATGAATTTTATAAGGTATGAGACCGAAGTGAGAAGTTGGGGCCATGTTGTGGCAGGCTCTAGAGCTGTCTGGGAATCTGTGTTCTTTGAGCAACAGGGAGACTTTTGATATTTCTAAGGAAGGAAATAATATAATTATACCTGAATTTAGATAGATACCTTTGGTTTAGACCATGAAGATGCTATGAAACAAAAATATTGGAGGAGAAATTAGTTAGGAGATCAACTGTATTCCAGGCAAGATTATGATGAGAATCTGAATTAACAGAAGCTTTGGGACTGGAGATGACAAATCTGGGACAGTTTTGAGCTAGAGTCAGCAGGGTTTCAAAAGCAAATAACAAAAGGAGTAAAGACATTCATTTGTTCTTCCTCTTGGGTACCTAGACAGATGGTGCTTCCATTAATGAAGCTGGGGATTGTGGGAGAAAGAGCAGGCTAGGGAGGAGATGGGTTCAGACAGGGCCATATGCATTTGGGGCTATTTGTGGAACATCCAAGCAGAAAAACGCAGGAGGCTGCTAGCTAGGTATCTGGTTCTAGACTTCTAGGAAGAAGACAGAGTTAATCATTGAGATTTGAAAGTCATTACTTTAATGGAGGGTAAAGCCAGAGATGCGGGTGGGAATTGTCATCTTTTCCTCACTATAATAAATACTTGAGATAATCAGCTTCAAAGAAAGAAAACTTTACTTGGGATCAGGAGTTCAGAGGTTTCATTCTCTTGTTAGTTGGCCTGTCATGGCCACTCCAGGTGTGCAGAGGAGCAGTAAGTCATGGCAGAAGCACATGGTAGAAGAGGTTGTTTACTTCATGGCAGCCAAGTAGA